AGTCGGGATACAGAAAATTTAACACCACAAAGCTCCCTCACTACCTTCCATCCCTCTTAAGCCCTCGCAGCCACTAATCTGCTCTGCATTTCTATAATTCTGTCGTTTCTTTCTTTCTTTCTTTCTTTTTTTTTTAAGATTTTATTTATTTAGAGAGAGAGCAAGCTAGAGAGAAAGCACAAGCTGGGGTGGGAGGCAGAGGGAAAGGGAGAAGCAGACTCCCCACTGATCCAGGAGCCCGAGGTGGGGTGCAATCCCAGGAGCCCGAGATCATGATCTGAGCTGAAGGCAGATGCTTACCCTACTGAGCCACCCAGGCATCCCTATAATCCTGTCATTTCAAGAGTGTTGTATAAATGGAATCCTATCGTGTGTAACTTTTGGGGATGGGCTTTTTGCACTCAGCATAATTCCCTGGAGCTTTACACAGACAGTTGTGTATCAAGAGTTTACTCCTTTTTATTGCTGAATGGTATTCCATATTATGTATGTACTATAGTTTGTTTAACTACCACCTGTTAAAGGACATCTGGATTGTTTCCGATTTTTGACTGTTACAAATAAAACTGCTGTAAATATTCACATGTGAGATGTTGTGGGAACACGACTCTCCATTTCTCTGGGATAAATGCCCAGGAACACAACTACTAGGTCATGTGGCGGTTGCATGTCTAGTTTTTTTAAGAGACTGCCAACCCTTCTTTTCCAGAGTGGCTGTACCATTTGTGCACTCACACCGACAATGGGTGATCAATTTCTCCTACATTCTCACCAGCATTTGATGTTGTCATTATTTTTTAGTTTAGTCATTCTGATAGCTGTGTAATAAGATCTCATTGTGGTTTTAATTTGCATCTCTCTAATAGCTAATAGTGTGGAACATCTTTTTACGTGCTTATTTCCCATCTGTGTATCTTCTTTGGTACAATGTCTCTTTACATCTTTTGCCCATTTCCCATTTGGACGGTTTAATTTTGAAATTTTTTATTTATTTAAGTAATCTCTTCACCCGACAGGGGCTCGAACTCACGACCCCAAAACGAAGAGTCACAGGCTGAGCTAATCAGGCACCTTTGGAAGTTTAAGTTTTTACTGTTGAGTTTCCAGAGTTCCTTGTAGTTCCTCGAGGCACAGTCCTTGATCAGATAGACAGTTTGCAAATATTTCCTCTCAGTCTTTAGTTCATCTTTCTAGCCTCTTAACATGGTCTCTTGCAGTGGAAAAGTTTTCGGTCATGTCCAGGTGATGAATTGTCCTCTTACAGATTGAGCCTTTGGTGTCAAGTCTAAAACCTTTTTACCTAACTCTAGATCCCAAAGATATTCTTTGTATTCTTTCCCCTAAAAGTCTCATATTTTACATTTAAGTCTGTGATCCATTTTGAGTTCATTTTTATTTTATTTTATTTATTCATGAGAAACACAGAGAGAGAATAGTTGTTAAACCTGTTGCAAAAAAATTAAAAAACCTGTTGCAATATCTCATTACATAATGCATTAATAAAGGGGCATATACATTGCTAATTATAAACTTGTTTTTATGTTTTGGTAACTGGATTTCAATATAATGAATTTTTCTTCATAGTCCTGTGTATTTAATATTATACATTAAAAAAAATCTCTGAACCAATACATGATTATACGTGATTATAGTAAGGTTGCAAGACACAAGGTTAACATACAAAAGTCTATGCTTTTCTTGTACAAAATTCAATATAATGAATTTTTCTTCATAGTCCTGTGTATTTAATATTATACATTAAAAAAAATCTCTGAACCAATACATGATTATACGTGATTATAGTAAGGTTGCAAGACACAAGGTTAACATACAAAAGTCTATGCTTTTCTTGTACAAAAGCAATGGACCAGGGCACCTAGGTGGCTTAGTCAGTTAAGTGACCAACTTGATTTCTGCTCAGTTCTTGATCTCAATGTGGAGCCTACTTAGGAAAAAATAAAAAGCAATGAACAAGTTGAATTTGAAGTTAAAAACACCATTTACATTAGCACCCCCGAAAATGAAATACTTAGGTACAAATCTAAACAAAGTATGAACAAAATCTATATGAGGAAAATTTTAAAACTCTAATGAGCGAAACCAAAGAAGATCTAAAAACGGAGATAGTCCATGTACGTGGATAGGAAGACTCCCTATTGTCAAGATGTCAGCACTTCCCAACCTAATCTGTAGATTTAACACAATCCAATCAAAGTCACAGCAAGTGAGTTTGTGGATATTGACTAACTGAAAGTCTATACAGAGATTCCAGAAGGCCAGAACAGCTAACACAATGTTAAAGGAAAAGAAGAGAGTTGGAGGACTGACAGTATCTGACTTCAAGGCTCCCTATGAAGTTGCAAGAGTGCAGACACTGTGGTGTTGGGAAGGGCTAGACAAATCAGTGGAACAGAGTGGAGAGTCCAGGAACAGACCCACACAAATATAGTCAATGATCTTTGAGAGGCATGTCGATGGAGAAAAGATAGTCTTTTCAACAAATGGTATTGAAACAACTGGACATTACGTGCAGAAAACACGAATCTGACCTTACATGTTTCACAAACTTAACTCACCATGTAGCGTAGATCTAAATATAAAGTGCAAAATTATAAACTCCTAGAACACAGCACAGGAGAAAAGCTAGGGGACCTTGGATCTGGTGATGACTTTTTAGACACTAAAAGCACAACTCATGAAAGAAAAAAATCAATGAGGTTAACTTCTTCAACTTAAAAATTTTGGCTGCTAAGAGGATGAAAAAAAAAATGCTGCCTCCCTCTCTATCAGCCTTGAGAACCGTGGCTTTAACAAAACCTGGAAATAACATCAATGCCACCAAGAGGGGATTAGTTTCTAAATTTTTTTTTAATTTTTATTTATTTATGATAGTCACACAGTGAGAGAGAGAGAGAGGCAGAGACACAGGCAGAGGGAGAAGCAGGCTCCATGCACTGGGAGCCTGACGTGGGATTTGATCCCGGGTCTCCAGGATCGTGCCCTGGGCCAAAGGCAAGTGCCAAACCACTGCGCCACCCAGGGATGCCCGGGGATTGGTTTCTAAATGATCCCATTAGAATGGAAGCCTTAATAGTGGTACGTGTGCGATGTTTTCTATTGCCTCTCCAGCCCCACTCTTCTTACTGACTGTTTCACCCTGCTCTGGACCCCAGGAGGCTGGCCTTTGGCCTCCATTGGGTGTAGCCAATTGGGAGCCTCGTGGTAGGCCTGATGAGAGGAAAAGAGTATTTATTCTCTGAGAGGTCAGAGTATATTTAATCCCCAGGCTTCCTCCCTACGGGGCCACTACAGTTTGTGTATTTGTCCATCCTGTGAGCAAGATTGTCCTTCCCACGTCAGGTAACCACTCTTTCCCGTCTCTCCCCTCTCTGGGCCTAAGGATGACAGACATTCACTTACCCAGGGCCCCAAAGCCTTGCACTACCCCTTGTCCTTTACCTTCACCATTCAAACCCTTTGTAAATACTCCTGGTATTAAACCCACCTCAAATTATCCTAAATTGATTGGGCCATCTGTTTCCTGCTGGGGCCCTAAGTGATACAGTATAATTAAAGATGTGGAGAAATGCAAATGAGAGATAATGGTAAGACATAAAAAGTAGGCTACCAAACTGTACACAGCCTGGTTTCCATTTAGGAGGAATTGTTCCTAGAAAGAAAAAAAAAAGAGGGGGGAGAGAGGGAGATAGCAGGTGGAATTGCTACTAATTGTTAAACAGAATTACCTCCAGGAAGTGGGGTTAAAGACTTCCTCTAACTCTCCAAGTCCTAGGTTTGTGTATTGACTGAATTTTTGAATGTGTTACTTTGGTAATTAGAAAACATATGGGGCAGCCCGGGTGGCTCAGCGGGTTAGGGCTGCCTGCAGCCCAGGGCGTGATCCTGGAGACCAGGGATCGAGTCCCACCTTGGGCTCCCTGCCTGGAGCCTGTTTCTCCCTCTGCCTGTGTCTCTGCCTCTCTCTCACTCTCTCTGTGTGTCTCTCATGAATAAATAAATAAGATCTTTAAAAAAGAAAAGAAAACATATGCACAAATAGGCTTAAAATTCCTGCACATTGGACACATGATTCCAGAACTAGGCTGAGGGGAGAGAATCAGGTCGTGGAGTTACAGGTGGGTATTTTTTTCTCCTTTATGCACTTCTGCATTTTCCATGTACTGGCATTGCTAATTTTATCAGAAAAAGTAGTAGGTTTGTTTTTCAGTTTTTTGGGCTTTGTGTGGTTTTTGTTTTTTTTGACAGTAGTTCCAAGGTGAAGTAGATTTTATTTTTAAACTAAAACAAGGAATTGAGAAAGACAGAGGGATCTTGAGCTGGATGATTGCTGGAAAAATGAATGAGATACTGATGGAGCTAAACAAAATCCGAGACAGAAACAGGAACAAGAGACAAGGGAGGCCTCTACACAAGGGGAGAGAAAAGGAATGGAATGAGATGAACTGGGATGGAGAGACAGGAGACTGCGTCACATATGCAGGGGCAACTATGCCTTAGAAAGCCTTGGGGCTGGACAGGTGGAGGTTCAAATCCAGCCTCTGCCACTACAGCCTACCTTGGAAAAGTACCTCCGCTTTACTGCATCTCAATTTTCTCCTCTACAGAACTGGAAGTAACAGGAGGATAGTAGGATACCCCTTGTCCTGTCCTTTCTTCAGCATTAGAAATGACCCCTGAGTACGGTTTACGTACAGGGTCTCGTACCCAGCGAGCACCACATAACGGCCGCTTGTTGCACTAGAACAGAGTTAAGGACTCCGAGGCTGATGACAAGAAAAAGGACACAGAGTGGGGCAGAGACCAAAACTGGAGGCAGGTTTTGGGGCCGAGCCCGGGCTGGCACCGTGGGCGCGGGTAAAGTCCTCGCCCGCCGCCGGCTTCCCCCGGGCCTGCGGCCAGCGCTGACGTTCGGAAAGCTCAGCCGGGCCGCGGGAAAGCCCGCTTGCTCCCCGCCGCTCCGCCGCGCACATAAAGCCGCCATGGACGGTGCGGGCGGCGCTGCCGAAGGTGGGCACCTCCCGGGGACGGTGGCAGGCAGGTCCCGCCGCCGCACGACGGAGGCACCGGCCGCACGGCGCAGGGGAGCGCGGAGCGCGCGGAGCCCACGGAGCCCGCGGAGCCCACGGCGCGAGGACGTCTCCGGGCTCCTCCGTCCCCGCCGCCGCCGCCACCGCCGCCGCCGCCTCGGGGGTCGCTCAGCGCCGGCGCTCGCAGCACCAGCGCGGGGCTCGGCCTCTCGCCCGCCGGCGCTCGCCTGCTGCGGGAGCGGAGATGGGGCCGCGTGGCGCAGCCGCCGTGGCCGTGGCGCTGTGGGTGCTGGTGGCGGCGGGCGACGCGGCGGAGCCTGGCGCGGCGACGCCCCGGCGCTGCCTCCTGTCGCACTACCGCTCGCTGGACCCCAGGGCGCTGGCGGCCGTCCAGGCGCTGCGGGACCAATACGTGAGTGACGCCCAGGCCTCCCCACGCGGCCCCCGGGGCCTGGCCGCGGCCCGGGTCTGCGACGGCCGTGGCCCCGGGCGCCCAGCAGGCGCCGCTCGGGCCTGGGGGCAGGGCGCGGAGCCCCGAGGTGGCGGGAGCCCCGGTCGCGGCCGGGCGCGTTGGGCGCGCGGGAATGCCGGCCGTCGGGGCGCTTCGGGGCCTGGCGAGGAGGCCCGGCCTGACCCCGGCCTCGCCCCGCAGGAGGAGGACACGCTGAGCTGGCGGCCGCGCAACTGCTCCTTCCGCCCGAGGAGGGATCCTCCGCGGCCCTGGGTGAGGCGGCCGAGCCGTCGCGGGGGCCCGTGGGGGGCGGCGCGGGCCGGGGCCGCGGCCTGTCTGACTCCCGGCCGCCCCCCGCAGTCGTGCGCGCGCCTCCGCCTGGTGGCCCGGGGCCTGGAGGACGCCCAGGCCGTGCTGAGCCGCCTGCGGAGCCCCGAGAGGTTGCCCGGCACCGGCCCGACCCTGGAGCTGCTGGCGGCCGCGCGGCGGGACGTGGGGGCCTGCGTGAGTGCCGCCCGCGCCCCCGGCCCCTCGCGCCCTCCCCGCTCGCTCCGCGCCCCCGGGGCCTCCGCGCCTCCGGGCCCCCGCATCGCCCCGCGCCCCCCGCGCCTCCGCGCCCCTCCGCGTCCCCGGGGCCTCCGCGCCCCTCCGCGCCCCTCCGCGCCCCTCCGCGCCCCTCCGCGCCCCCCGGGGCCTCCGCGCTCCCCGGGCCTCTGCGCCCCCCGCGCCTCCGCGGCCCCGGGCCCGGCCCACCCGCTTGGCCAGTCTGTTCCCCGGTCACGGCTCGCGTGGTCTCGGTGTCCCCCGATCCCGGCTTCGGTGTGCGGCCGGGAGGGCCACGGGGCCGCGTCCCAGGGACCCTGGGTCCTTCGGCGTCTCCATGTCCCTCCTGCTCCGCCCGCAGCTCGAGCTGGCCCGGCCAGGCTCCCGGGGCAAGTCCGTGCGGCCGCCGAGGAGGCGTCCCCAGAGGCGGAGAGCTGTGAGTGGCGCGGGCGGGGAGCGGTTCGACTGCCGGCGGGACGCGCGGCTGGGACGGGGCTGGGCGCGCAGGCCGGGAGGGCGAGCAGGGGGAGGCACCTCGTCCGGGAGGGAATTCCCGGCTCAGCCCCCGCTCCGCCTCCTTCCCGGGCTCCAGGACTCGCCTCGGTGCCACGAAGCCAGCGTGATCTTCAACCTCCTGCGCCTGCTCACGAGGGACCTGAGGCTGGTGGCGGACTCCGGGCCTTGTCTCTGACCCCCGCGGTGGCGCCGCGGGCCCCGGAGCTCTGCAGGCGGGGTTCTGAGGTCGCGGCCCTCTGGGGGACGGACGGAGCGGGGGCCGGGGCCGGGACCGGGGGCGGGGGCGGCGGCGGGCTCTGGGCCAGTGGGCGCCGAGGCGGCGCGGGCGGCTCTCAGGTGCGCTGGCCGGACCTCGACCCGCCTGCACGGGGTACCAGAGGTGCGGGCACTTTCCCAGGACCAGACCGAGTTCTCCGGATGCGGCCTATCTCCGTGGGTCGAGCTGCCCTACGATCTTCCAGGCGCCAGGTGTGGCTGGAAGAGACTCGAGTCTGGAGTCTGCCTTGGTCACTGACCACCTGGTACTAGGGACAAGTTTCTATTCCTGCGGTTACCAGAACCCCAGAGCCCCTCCTCCAGGACAGGTCCCACCTCGGATTTGAACTTTCAACTCCCACTTTGAGACTGTACGAATCTGTGACTCTTGAATCTCCCCAGTGGGGAGGCCACATATACCCCTGAGGGATTTGGTAGTGAAAAGTCCTAAAGTCCTTAAATTATTTTTTTTTTCGATTGTTACTTATGCATGTCTTGTATTTGCAAGTTCCTGTCTATATCTGCCATTCTGTCTGCTGTTGTTAAGTTATTGCCAGTTATTAAATATTACCACATTTGCGTTGGTGTTTCCCTGTGACCATTTTGGGGTGCATTTTTCAGTAAAAAATGCTGAGCCAGGGAATTCTGGTGACTTGAATTTCTGTTCTGACCTTGTCATTTAATTTTGGAGTAACTCTGGGCACATTGCGTCTTTCTGAGCCTTGGTTTTCTCATCTCTACAATGACAGTATCGTACTGTCCTTGCACATGAGTAATGTACATTGAAATAGTGTTTATAAAGCTTCCAGGTGAGGTCATAGTGTGGTCTTAATAAGTGGTCTCCATTAAATAACCACACACACACAAAAGTACAGAAACAATTGTACTTTTTTTAACTCGTCCAGATTTGTGGGCTGGCAATCTTTGCCGCTAACTGCGTGCCTCATTCCCAAGGTCACACAGCTAGTGAGGGTTAGAGCCAGGTCTGAATGCTAGACCCTTTAGTTCCAGAGCCTATGCCTTTAGCCACCCCACTGAACTATCTTTCCAAGAAAAACTAGTACGGAGGCACTTGGGTGGCTCAGTCCGTGAGCCTTGGATTCTTGATTTTAGCTCAGGTCGTGATCTCAGGGTTGTGAGATCGAGCCTGAGTCCAGCTCCACACTGCGCATGGAGCTACTTAAGATTCTCTCTCTGGGCAGCCCGGGTGGCTCAGCGGTTTAGCGCTGGCTTTAGCCTGATCCTGGAGACCCCAGATCCAGGGCCTGATCCTGGAGACCCCAGATCGAGTCTCGCTTCAGGCTCCCTGCCTGCTTCTCCCTCTGCCTGTGTCTCTGTGTCTCTCATGAATAAATAAATAAAATATATTTTTAAAAAAGATTATTTCTCTCCCTTTCCTTGTGTCACCAACCCACCCCAATAAAAAAGGAAAAGAAAAAAAAAAACGAAAGAAAGACAGACAAGTATGAAGTTTAGGAATTTTGAGGTGAGATGACAGTTTTCAGAATTCGCTCTTGATGTAATGTTTTCTCCCCTGAAGTTGACAGAAATGGACAGGTGCACTGGTAGGTGAGTTGGGTACATCCCCACTCTTGGTTTTGAAACATTTTTATATGTCAGAGCTCAAAGATTTTCCCAACTGAGAACTTCCGTCTACCCTGTCTCTGGAATTATGAATGAGGGAAAGAAGGGGTTCAAGTGAGGGTCCAGTGTCAAAAAGGACTCAACACATTCTGTCCAAAAAATTCATCACCTCCAGGTCCAGAAGATCTAGTGACACAAGGCCAGAGACTGCAATGGTCACTGTCAAGGTGCCAGACAAAATTCCTTAAAATTCTGCCCTTATCACTTATCACTTACTTGGCTGTGTGACCTTGGGCAGATCTCTTAACCTCTCTGAGTCCCCAGGTTACTACTTATTTGCAATGTAGGCAGAGCACAGTATGTGCTTGGTGTTAACACGGGCATTCAATTCTACATTGCGGCAAAACCCCCGTGACCAGGTGAGACACTAAAACAAAACGGGGTGTCTCTGTTTCCCTTTTGCACTGTTGCCTTTATCTAGAAGGCTCCTCCCTCAGATCTTCACATAGCTCCCTGCCTCATTTCCTGTAGGACTTTGCTCCAACGTCATTTTCTTAGGCCACCTCATTAATACAAACTCCCTCCTGCACGCTGCTCTCATTCCTGCATTATTTCCCTCCATTTTCTGTTTCCTGACATAATACATGCCATGTGCTCCCCAGCCCCGCACCCCACAACACTGTCACTCTTCCCTAGTAATGAGCTCTGTGAAGGATTGTTTTATGTTAGGGGATCCCTGGGTGGCTCAGTGGTTGAGCGCCTGCCTCCGGCCCACGGCGTAATCCCGGAGTCCCAGGATTGAGTCCCAGGATCCAGTCCCAGGATCGAGTCCCAGGATCGGGTCCCTCATCGGGCTCCCTGCATGGAGCCTGCTTCTCCCCTTGCCTGTGTCTCTGCCTCTCTCTCTCTGTGTGTCTCTCATGAATAAATAAAAAAAAAAATCTTTTTTTTTTTAAAAAGGATTGTTTTATGTTTGTTTGTTCTCCGTGCTCAATTCCTGGCACTTTGGTCAGCACCTGACAATGTTCCAGCTGAGAAAATACTCGGGGAATACATGAAGGCACTTGTCACAACTGAGCCTCCCTTGGGGTCCTGGGGCACAGCCCAATTCCTCAGCAGAGCATCATTGCCTTCCTGTTCTTGGACACTGAAAGATGTTCGCAGAGGCTGTCCCCCTCCCCTGTTCTCTGTCAATAGCAGGTGGGGACAGGTGGGGGAAGAGCTGGCGTGCGCTCTTAGTTCTTAAGTGTTTTGCCTTTCCGATCCCCTCTTCCTGCACCCAGCAGGCTTCCCTGTCCCTTACACAGCCTCCCTCTTGCAAGTTCCAAGTTCCAAGGTGCCTCTTCCCTCCCCTGCCTGCATTATGAGGGTGCCTCTGTGCCCTCCCACCCAAGGCTGACTCTAGCCCCTTCCGGGGCACCGGGACGCCTCGTGGTGTGGCCACCACTGCCCCAGCCCCGAGGATTCATCTTCAGAACTCACCTTTGCATGGGCAAACTCTGAACCAGAGTCCAGTTTCTCTTTCGCTCCAGTTGCTCAGCCGGCTCTGGGCTTCCCCAGCCCGGGGCCTCCCCTGGTGGTGGCTGTCAACCTCGGGTTGTGTTTTCACTTTTCCTACATCAGCTGGAATTGCCTACCTGTCCAGGTTAAAAGCTGCGCCATGGGGCCCAGGCATGAATTCCATCCCAGACAGAGCTGGAAGTTCAGAGACGTAGACGGAGCAGTCAGCTGCGACCCAGGAGGAGACGCTGAAGTCAGAGACGCCAAACGAGACCAGGCGAGGACTCTGGTGACAGTGTCAGAGGGGACATCTGGATTCCACTATCCGCTGAAGGAGACCAGGGTCCAAGAATGAAGCTGGGTGAGCCCCTCCTCACAGTCCCCAACCCCCACCTACCCAGAGGAGGTAAGCATCCTTGCCGTCCGCACCTGATGCTCCCTAACCCCTCACCTGTGGGTCCTTCCATCTCACAGATACGGCCGTGGGCTGCGTGCTGGTGCTGACAGCTGTGGTGCTGACGGCGACAGGAGCAGTTCCTTTCCCCAAGCCCCTCGGGGTCCTCGCAGATGCACAGGGCTGCCACTTGGCCCAGTTCCAGTCTCTGTCCCCACAAGAGCTGCAGGCCTTCAAGAGGGCCAAGGACACCTTTGTGAGTCTCCCTCTGCCCCACCTCCTGGGGGCCAGGCTCTACCTCTGCCTCTCTGGGTTACCATGCTGCACCCCCCCAAACGGGGACCTGCCCCCTTCCCTCACCAGGCTAACCTCCCCCAATCCCGCAGTGGGCAGACTCCTGTCCTCCTGCGGTGGAGGTGCCTCTATCACCTTCTGCACATTAACCTGGGCTCCAGTCCTACTGGGGTGGGCTTCTCCCCTCTGTCCCTCCTGCTGGGGGCTGACCTCCGCCTGTCCTCTCCAGGAAGAGTCACTTTCCCAGAAGGCTTGGAGCTGCCGCCCCCGACTCTTCCCCAGGACCTGGGACCTGCAGCAGCTGAAGGTGAGGGCATAGCCAGGCCCGCCCCTACCCTTGCCTGGTCCCGATCCTCTGGCTCCTTAGGTGGCCCCTCCACCTTCTTCTCACGTGTCCCTCTCTCCTCATCCTCCCCTCCAGCACCACATCCTTCTTTGAGCACCTTGGCTGTACCCTCTCACCTGTCCCTTGGCTGTCACCCTTACCTGTCCCTTGCTTAGGCCTTCCCACTTGTCCTCTCCTGTGTGCAACTCTCACCTGTCTCGGTCTCCTGTCCTCAGGTGTGGGAGCGCCCCGTGGCCTTGGAGGCTGAGCTGACCTTGACACTGAAGGTCCTGGAGGCCATGGCTGACTCGTCCCTGGGGGACATCCTGGACCAGCCCCTTCACACGCTGCGCCACATCCACTCCGAGCTCCAGGCCTGTGTGAGTGCTCGGGGCACCTGGGCCCTGTCTATGGGTTCCGGGCATAGGGGACCTCACCCCGCCACCTCAGGCCCTGCCTCACATGCCACTCGCCTCTGCCACAGGTCCCAGCTCAGCCCCCAGCAGGCCCCCGGTCCCGAGGCCGCCTCCACCACTGGCTGCAGCGCCTCCACGATGCCCCAGAGAAGGTGACCAGGGAGTGACCTGTATCTGGGGACAACTGGGATCCCAGACGATAGGCAGCCACTGACCCAGCCCTTCCTCCCCACAGGAATCCCTCGGCTGCCTGGAAGCCTCTGTCATGTTCAACGTCTTCCGCCTCCTCACCTGGGACCTGAAATGTGTGGCCAGTGGAGACCTGTGTGTGTGATCCCCGAGACACTCCTGCACCCTGTCCTGACATCCTAGATATTATTTATACATACACCGACAACTTTTCTTAATGCATTGCCAGCAAATCATTATTTATATACTTATGTGTGTGAATTCTCAAACTTGGAACCAGTGAAATGTTTATTTTTCTACTTTGTATAAAAATTGTGCAAATAAAAAAATGAGGAAAAAATGCTCCTTGTGGTGTGGGACTGTGTGTTTGCATGGACTGGGTTTTTTTTTAAGATTTTATTTATTTATTCACGAGAGACACAGAGACAGAGAGAGAGGCAGAGACACAGGCAGAGGGAGAAGCAGGCTCCATGCAGGGAGCCCGACGTGGGACTTGATCCCGGGTCTCCAGGATCAGGCCCTGGGCCGAAGGCGGCGCTAGACCGCTGAGCCACCCAGGCTGCCCTGGACTGGGTTTTTAAGGGGTTTTGTTTTTGGTTTTTTGGTGCCCTAACAAATTACCACAAACTTAGCATCTCCAAATAAGACAGACCTCGTATTCCTACTAGTCAGAAATCCAGGTGGGCTCTGTAGTTTCTCTGCTGTGGGTCTCACAAGGCTGAACAAAGTGCGGCTGGCTGGATTCTTAATTGGGGAGTTCTGGGAAGAATCTCTTTCCAAGCTCATTCAAGTTGTTGGCAGAATCTGTTCCTTGCAATTGCAAGACACAGGTCCCTGTTCCCTCGTGACGTTGTGAGCGTCTATCCTTAGCTCGTGGTGGCCTCTTTCTGGTCTTGGCACAGGGGATCCTATAATCTCAGAGCCAGCAACAGCGTGGCAAATCCTTCTCATGCTTGGAATCTCTCTGACTTCTCCCTTCTGCCACATTTCTCTCTACCTCCAGCCCAAGAAAGCTCTCTGCTTTTCAGGACTCATTGTTTAGATTGGGCCTAGTAGGATAATCCAGGGTAATTTCCGTATTTTAAAATCCATAACCCCTAATCCCATCTGCAAAGTCCCTTTGCCATGTGGCATAAGTAGCCACAGATTCCAGGGGTCGCGGTGGGCATCTTTGGGGGGGCCACTGTCCAGCCTACCACAGTATGTGTGTGATTGTGTGCATGTGTGTTCTCTCTGTGGGCATGGGAGGGGAATCACATGGATGCATTTTATTATAAACTAAGTTATATTAACTAAAATGCCTTAATAAGAACATTTGTCATCGTACTTGGTGTTGGGGTCCATGTGAAACTGTACTGTCCCGTATGGTTCCTGGGTTACACACAGCTATGGATGACTTGAAATGTAGCTAGTGTGAGCTGAGCTGTGCTCTAAGTATAAAATATACTGCAGAAATTGAGGAATATTGATTGATTGATTGATTTGATTTGATTTAATTATTTGACAGAGAGAGAGAGCACAAGCAGGGGGAGCTGCAGGCAGAGGGAGAAGGAGAAGCAGAGTCCTCGTTACACAAGAAGCCCGATGCGAGGCTCCATCCCAGAACCTGGAGATCATGACCTGAGCCGAAGGCAGACGCTTAACTGACTGAGCCACCCAGGCACTGCTGCAATTTTTATTTAAAAATTTTTTTTTCAAAAAAAATTTTTTTTCAGATGGTGCCTGCCCAGTTTCTCCACTGTAAAGTTACTATTTTCTCTTTGTAACAAGTGAGTGTGTGGGGAGGCTTTGAGACTAGGTCAATGCGTATTCCCTCTTGAACTCTGACCTGTTCGTGTTAGCATTCATTGATGGTGCTTGTCTGGCTGCTACCAGGAGGACAGTTACAACCAGCCATTCTCTTTCTATGTTTATTACCTGGCATTCTACTGTCAGGAAGAGCTTTGCTCTTCTCCTTCATTTATATATTTACCAGTCAATTTATATCAGCACAGACTCATGACTTCTGATTTTACTCAGTAGATTTCAATTCTTTACTCTTATATGTTTTGATGTTCTAGTTGTCCCAGGTCAGATCAATGGAAACACTTTCAAGAAGGCACCTATATCCTTTTGTATGTCCCTATCATTCTCTGAGCACCACCTTGCTTTCCGGATTAAGATTTTTAAAAAATATTTATTTATTTATTTATTTATTTATTTATTTATTTATTTATTTTAGAGACAGGGGAGGGTCAGAGGGAGAGCGAGAGAGGGAAGAGCAGACTCTGCGCTGAGCACAGAACCCAACACGGCAGTGCTCAATCTCACGCCCCTGAGATCATGACCTGAGTTGAAATCAAGAGTCAGATGCCTGGGACACCTGGATGACTCAGTGGTTGAGCATCTGCCTTCCACTTGGGGTGTGGTCCCAGGATCGAGTCCCGCAAGGGGCTCCTTGGGTGGAGCCTGCTTCTCCCTCTGCCTGTGTCTCTGTCTCTCACGAATAAATAAAATCTTTAAAAAAAAGAGTTGGATGCCTAACTGACTGAGTCATCCAAGTACCCCTGAAATAAGATTTTTAATGGTTTTTGCCCTGCTCCAGTTCTACAAAGAACCATTTCTCCAAGAAGATGTGGTTACTTTCAGTGGAGAACAGTATGTAGAGACCAAGATGCGGGTGCTAGGTAGGCTGACTGCTACAGGAATACCATTGGTTCTACTCTATCTGAAGACAGAGCTAGGGAATAGATGGATGTATGTACAGAATTTTTGTTTACCATTAAAGGCTAAAATCTCGGTAATAGTTTTTACACTAATTATCTGTTGAAATTATATTTTAGATATATTCTTTTTCATTTCATATATTGCACATATTTATTGTTCATATACTATTTCATATATTTCTTTTTTACATTTTAAATGTGGCTACTAGAAAATTCGAAATCACATATGTGGCTCACATAACACTTGTACTGAGCAGTGCTGGTTTTGAGGGCATGATGTCGTAGTGGTTCTAGGCTCTTACCATCTGGCTGCTCCTCCATCCTTAGTGTATCAGTACTGGCTCACCTCATGGTCATAATATGGCTGCCACAGATCCAGCCATCACACAATCACCTAATTGGCCCAAAAGCAAGAATGGTAAAGATTCCACCTAATTGTATCTATATTTATTCTCTCTTTCTTCCTTTACTTAGAGAACCCGAGTTTTAGGTGGATTCAAGAGTGTTCTACCAAAGACAACATTTCCCAGCCTTCCCTGCACCTGAGGCAGTTGGTGTTGCCTGATATATGTGAGTGAAAGTGATCTGAGCACCTTATGAGTCACTCTCTTAAAGGAAATGGGAATACCCATCTCTTCTCCTTTCTCTTTTCCTGCTGAATGTCAGCAATGAGAGAAGCTGTCTTATTTTGCCTTCAATTTTCCAGGATATTTTCAGTGGATGTAGAATCCTGTATTGATGGGACGCCTGGGTGGCTTAGCAGTTGGGTGTCTGCCTTTGACTCAGGGCATGGTCCCAGGATCCTGGGATTGAGTCCGGTTACTGGGCTTCCTGCATAGGGCCTGCTTTTCTTTCTGCCTGTGTCTCTGCCTCTCTTTCTCTGTGTGTCTCTCATTAATAATAGTTTAAAAAATCTTTAAAAATAGAATCCTGTATTGACAGCCCTTTTTTCTTCCAGCACATTAAAGCTTCAGATAAATTATATATAGACTTAGGTCCTTCCTTTCTGGAGCTCCCTCCATATTGGGATTTCTTCTTTCAATTTCTTTTTTTAAATTTATTTTAATTTTTATTTATTTATGATAGTCACACAGAATGAGAGAGAGAGAGGCAGAGACATAGGCAGAGGGAGAAGCAGGCTCCATGCACCGGGAGCCCGATGTGGGATTTGATCCCGGGTCTCCAGGATCGCGCCCTGGGCCAAAGGCAGGCGCTAAACCGCTGCGCCACCCAGGGATCCCTCTTCTTTCAATTTCTAACTGCTCTGGAAACCCCAAACTCTGGTGTCTGACATCTCAAGTTAATGACTATGGTTTTCTGTTGAGTTCTAGCTGTCCCTTGCCACATGGACAGAGGTGCATCTGCAGGGGGAAGAGCTGTATGAATTTAGCTCTCACACACTGTGTTCCAGTCTTTTAAAGGTTGAGTCCTCTCCAGCTTAAGCCTGCTCCTGGTTTCTTTCAAATGTTGTTTTTAATTTTTTAAATTTAATTTCTTTTTTATTTTGGGAAGGGGAAGGGCAGAGGGAAAGAGAGAATTCCTAAGAAAGTTCCATGCCCAGTGCAGAGCCTGACATGGGGCTTGATCTCTCGAGCCTAAGATCATAAACCTGGCCGAAATTAAGAGTAAGATACCTAGCCTATTGAAGTGCCCAGGTGCCCCTATATATTTTTTATTTTTTAATATATTTTTTTGTTTTAAAATGTGGGATGCCTGGGTGGCTCAGCAGTTGAATATCTGCCTTTGGGTCAGGGCATGATCCCAGAGTCCTGGGATCGAGTCCCACATCCGGCATCCCATGGGGAGCCTGCTTCTCCTTCTGCCTACATCTCTGCCTCTCTCTCTCTGTGTTTCTCATGAGGAAATAAATAAAAAATGTTTTTAGGGCAGCCCGGTTGGCTCAGCGGTTTAGCGCTGCCTTCAGTTCAGGTCGAGATCCTGGAGACCTGGGATCGAGTCCCATGTCGGGCTTCCTGCATGGAGCCTGCTTCTCCCTCTGCCTGTGTCTCTGCCTCTCTCTCTGTCTCTGTGTCTCTCGTGAATAAATAAATAAAATCTTTAAAAAATATTTTTTAAAAGATTTATTTACTTATTGGGGGGGGTGAGGGAATGGCAGAGGGAGAGAGTCCCAAGCAAACTCCATGCTGAACACAGAGCCCGACCCAAGGCTCGATCTGGTGACCCCAAGATTGCAACCTGAGCTGAAGCCAGGAGTCAGACACTTAACCAACAGTGCCACTCAAGCACCCCAATAGTGTTTTTTTTAAAAATCATTTTGTCCAGAGTTGCTGGTTGTTTTGTTCAGAGTTGGTAATTGTCGTCTGTGTAGAGAGTAATCAGTACTCCCTCATCTGTCCCTGCCCCATCCTTCTCTCTTTCTGGTTCCTCCCTCAGGTGAGTGATTCCAACTGGGGTATCTCCTATGGCTGCAGACACATGT